GCAGAGTCCAACCAACGCTGACGCACAGCACAATAGTAGAGTTCTTCTACATTTAGACTAGACTATACCTCACAACACACCTCCGCTCTCGAAAAGTCTACATCTAGACTAGACTTTATACCTCACAACACAACTCCGCTCTCGTGCATTCTCAAATCACCAACTGCTGCGGCTGCAGACTATACCAGCTCGGCCACTCGAATATGACCCACACAACAGCAGCAGCTTCAATCGCACGCAAACATACCTAACACCCCACAGCTACATATACTGGAATACACCACACAGCTGCCGTTGGTTATTTCCTGTCCCTCTGATATTACGGCGAGATCTTGCTGAAATTGAGCGATTTGGTGCGGCGAGATCAATCAAAGTGTTTTTTTTTTCTTGCCCCAAAATTGGGGCATGCCCCAAAATGCCCCCATGCCCAAAAATTACTTGAAAATCGGATGCACAGTGGCTCATTTTGCCCCTCCCCTCCCCAAGCAGCATCCCGCGCTGTCTTTTGGCTTGATACATAGGGCCCTACATCCCGGTGTCACACCTTCCACCCGAGACTTCCTTGGAAGGCTAATACGCGTAACACCTGCATGGCGCCTCTGTGCCCCGCATACGCGAAAGTGCCCTCGGGTGATCTGATCTCCGTGGAGTGGTTGAACAGCGTTCTTCTGCAGAAGCAGCAGCAGCAGCACAATAGTGGGTCTACACAAGCAACAATCACCCGCTTCAAGGTCGACGAGGGATCCACCATTAAAGGCAGACACTCCGTGACGTTCAGGCTCCTATTGGACTGGTCCTCTTCTCGCGTAGAGGCTGCCGACGATGGGAACGCGACGGGCCGTGGACGCGTATGCAGCGGTCCGTGGGCATCAGTCTTCGTGAAGCGCATGACATGTCGCGAGCTTCCTGCTCGATCTTTGACCAAGTGGAGGTAAGCGCGCTTGTTTTGCGACGTGTTTGCAGGGTGTCCTGTAGAGCGTACATCGTTCGTTGAGTAGTGTGGAGGTGCGGGGGTTGAATATTGTTGAGGTAGGCGTATTATTTTCGTCAGTACATCGCCAACAAGTTGTTTCGTCATTTATGGATACCACGCGACTTACGAGATTTGTATAACCGTTTCGTTGATGCGTGCAACGGCAATCATGCGATCATGTGTACCATGTGCACGTTCCCACACCCAAGGTGAGTGTGGGTACACAAAAGCCAAGATCGCGGGCTCACCCAAAAGCATGCTACGGTACGATACGCGGTTCGTGCATTCTCTCATTACATGATGTACCTTGGTTTTGTTTCTCGATCCACTCCTTGGCAACAACGTGCACTATCTTGCTCAACAGAATTGACTGTGTTACAGTAGGCGCAACACTTGCGGATTAATACATGTAGCTTTGTGTCAAACGAGGTGCACTTGGTTGCAGTTACATAGTCGGTTGGCTGTTGCTTACCGGAAAACTCAAAATTTGGGACTTGATCCGTTTCGTATACCCGACTGAGATCCCGTTTACACTACAACCAATGATACAACCAATGATGGCCATTTGTAGCCCACGAGAGGTAACCAAGAACCCCAACCTCCAAAAGTTGAGGTTCTCAAGTGCGGACGCATCTGTATTGCACCCCCCCGCATTTCTCATCCATTTGTCGGCTTGTGTGAATCCTCGGCAAACTCTTGACAAGCTGCGTCTGTGTGCAACATGCGCCCATTTTCAACTCTGCATCTACGCCACATTTGGGGTGGTGGTTAGGGCGGGGGCGTCAACTGCCACTTGTTGTCGCTCTCGTTGCCGTTGGGTAGGCTGAGCGTCGCAAAAACAAGATCTACATAGTCTGCTGACCGATCCGGCCCCCAATCTGTGTGCGTTCTATGTTACAGCACCGACCGCGCTAACCAATAAAAACGACGCCAGTCTGCAGCGGGAGGACAAACACGAACCATTTCTAATCAAATTTGTACTACTAGCATGGACCGCGTTAAACGGTCGTGCGCGTGTGTTGCGTCTGACGTGTGTGGACATTCACCCGCGGCAGGACTAGCATCGCCTCGTACCGCGCGGAAGCGACGTTCTTCGAGACCGTCGCCGGCTACGCGGCGCTCGACGCCATCGTCCCGCACGCCTTCTGGGTGCACGTCGACGACCGCCTCGGGGGGGGTGAGGAGACCGGCACTGCCGCCGCCGCCGGCACCGGGGGCACGGAGGCGGATGCTACTATCGTGGAAGCGCTGCGAGAGTCTTGCTTCATGATGATCACCGGTGGGTGGGTGTTGGCGGCGAATATGTGTAGGTGACGCAAGTTATCGCACCCCCTCGGGACCGACTTTCCACATGGAGAGGATGCATAATCCAGAGGACAACACGTTTTCGGAGAGACCGCCTTTTTTCGAAACCCGCTCTTCATGCAGTGGAGAAGTCGAGCTTTGAAAACCAGCCCAGGGGGTGTGATATCTTGTGTCATGTCACGTACGGTGCTGACTGGACGACCAGTGTAGGAGGGCGGAACGATAAGCGAAATCATTCAGGACATTGAGTAGCACTGCGTTGAAGTTGCAAGATGCTTTGCGCGGCTGAACAGCAGAGCGAGGACGATGGCTGAAAGTCGTTGTAAATTTTGCAAGTGGCAGTCGTGCTCCATGGCGATCACCAGTGAGAGACATCGCAGAAAAGGCAGTATGGTGAGCTGTGTAGCGTCCTTCATGTCAAGGAATATCAGCGGGTTTTCGATAGATGAGTTACGCTTTTCCGCGACGCAAACGAGGCGATATGATGCGGTGTGGGGATGGGTTTCAGCAAGGCTTGCTGTATTTTCTTCCAAATTACACACGTATTTTAGTTTTGTAGCCACCAAGGCCACTCAGGGATAGTGATGAATGTCTGGGTCCACTTCTTTCTGATTGCTGTTTGGGCGATGCTGTGCAGATTTCATGGCAAAATCCCTCTTGTTTCCCCTTTTGAATTTTTTGCAACCGCAAAGCCTCTGTCGTCGCAGCTGCCTTCCCCATATTACTCACGCGGTTGTTTGTGCCCTAGGAAATATTGGAACGATTTCGAACATATGATGCCGACGTACATCGGGCATATCGTATTTACAATTTCGGCGGTAAGCATAGGTGCCAAACAAACAATTCCGTTGTCGTGGGCGGTGCTCGCCTTTGTGTTGCTTCGAAAGAGGATCTTGGGACGGTATCCCATCCCGGATGCGGCGAGAATGACCGAGAGGCGGACGCGGAAAGCCGTGGGCCGAAGAAGGCAGACTGGGAACAGGTGAGCCGTAGTCAGGGGACAACGACTTGATTTTTTGGGGGGTGTGTTTTTCAGGGTGCCGGCAGAATGCTGCGCTCTCTTCGGTCTGTCCTGTTAGGTGGGTTTCTTTGGGCCAATCAACGATAAAGGAGACAACGCGTTTCAGCGTAATAGCGATGACACACAACAGCCTTTTGAGTATTAGGAAAGCCCCTCCCTCTCTTGGCCTGTATATCGTATCGAGCGCTCCATGTTGTTTCCTTTCCCTGTCCCGCATGCAATGTCATGCTTCCAAGGACAAGCTGCCGTCCGAATCTTGGCGATACATCTGTTCGGAGTACGTACGGTGCCCCTTCGCCGCAAGGAATACCGCTGGCCGATGGCCCAAACTAAAGGCGAGCTCCAACCTATCCCACCCCCCCCCTTTGCCAGTGGTCTAACAACTGAAGCATGCGAAACATGACCTACCCATGCCCTTGAAAGGTTGGAGCATTGGACCCCGGACGGGCGAAGGCCGTCCTCTCCGCCGCTGCCCACCTGCACGCCTCCTTCTGGCCAGAACCCCCGCCGGCGGCAGGGGGTTGGGAACCCCGTGGTCACTGCCAGCCGCAGAGCCCCCAGCGCCAGGAGGACCACGGGCGGGAGCAGCAGCGACACCCGGACCTGGGTTCCGGCCACCACCATTGCGACGGCGAATGGCGGTACGCTCGGGGGCTCCACAAGCAGGGCACGTTCTGGTCCCTCGAGAAGAGGGACGCGGGAGACCTCGCGGGGCTGGAAGAGGAGTACAGGAAACTTATGAGAAATTTCCGCCCGCTGCTGCCCGCGGCGTGGTTCGAGGCTCCGCAACAAGGGGGAGACGCAGTCGGGGATGCTGCCCGGCGTCCCGAACTGTGCGCCGAGGGAGATGAGCGACATCTTGGTCGCCGTTTGGCGGCGCGAGCGTTGAGCCTCGACGCGGCCGTGCATGCGAACGGAGATGGTGTTTTGGCATCCTCAGGCGGTGGAAAGAGGGGCAGGAGCCTAGTCCATGGGGATTTGAAGACCTGGAATGTTTTCTTCAAGACGGCAGGCTGGGCAGAGCCCGGAGGGCAAGGGGAAGGTGCCGCAGCTAGAGGCGATGGCGGAGGTGATGCTAAAGGGCCGGCTGCTGCTGCCAGAAGAAACGTGAAGATCATTGATTGGCAGGTGTGGTTCGTGTTGGAGGTCGGGGTGGTGGCGAATGAGGCATTTTCGTACTGTTTTTTTGTCGCATGGAACCGTTTGTTTTTGAGAGGGAGGGCTTGATAGTTGTATTTATACACAGAGCGTGTTTTCTTTGGCACGGATGCTTAACCAGCAGAGAACCTTCCAAAGTGTAACCATCAAGGGGAAGACTAACTGTCACGTCAGGCGTGGTGGGCGTGGTTACTCTAGGGCCCTTCGAGCGGAAAAATCTGCCTACTTTGAACGAGTATCTATCCAGGATATGATCCTCAACGTAGACCATGGTTGATACCACCGATATGTCATCCTGTTGTGAGTTTGGCCTCAGATGTGGCAGTTGTTTTGGAAAGGCCTCCGATGCTGCTGTTGAACCTACCGTCCTACCGTTGTCCAAGCCCCCTACCCCCCCCCCCACACATGTATTTTTTTTCTTCCCGGACCAACTTTGTGCTCAACACAATGCACCAGCATTGACTTGCATCACATCATACCGGAATGTCATTCTTTTGCCGGACTGGCTTGATCTCAATACCAGCATTGACCGACAGCATCCTCAGAACGTTAAAAATCACTTGCCTGATGATTCCGCTGACACAGTGGTGCGGGGAAGGGCTAGCAGCAGCGGACGCCGCTTACGTTATCTGCACTAGCCTGGAACCATCGCTCTTGTCGAGGGAGCGAGAACTGCTCGACCACTACCACGCCGAGTTATCCCGAGGCTTAGAGGCGCGCTTCGGCAAGCCGCCGGCACCGGAGGGGGGGGGAGATAGCGATGGCGCCTGGTATCCGTCGGGGCAATTCGCGGACGACTATCGTGTGGCGTTTCTAGACTACATGAGGTGAGAGGAGAGGGGCTGAGAAGGGTTGCATGCCGGAGGGGCGGGGGGGGGGGACTTCATGCTCTTATGTTTTGCATGCCTTAGCGGTTAGACCATTGACCACGAGTCCTCGAGAGGACGGAGCATTGTTCCCACAGGACCGATCGCCGTTGGTCAATCGTTCCTTCCTACTTTGCCAAAGGTGGCTCAAAAATGTCTTCCCTAGTCTGTCTAGCCTAACGATATCCCTTCCCGCCTTTTCAATCCACTTCCTACTCCCCAGTATAGCTACCGTCCTTTCCTCTCTTGTCCATGCCTCAAACATCTCCCTGTACCTCCCTTCTATTTTTCCCAGCTCAGTCACGTACACTTCCCTCTCCTTCTTGTACAACGGACATTCCGCGACTACATGAACACGATCTTCGCATTCGAAGCCGCATTCACATTTGAACTCGTCGCCTTCGTCGTCTATCGTCCTATGTCTTCGTCGACGTTCTCGAAGGCCTGTGTCACCGGTCCTGAATTTGACCTTAAGCTTTGTCCCTGCATCCATTGGTCCATGTAGGTAGTCCTTGAACCCTATTCCTTCCTTCAACATTCCGTACACTTCTAGACCCNCTTTGTTCCTGCATCCATTGGTCCATGTAGGTAATCCTTGAACCCTATTCCTTCCTTCAACATTCCGTGCTCTTCTAGACCCTCCTTATCCTCGGTTTCTTTTCGTAGATTATGTTCTACTCTCTCGGCACAAGCAACAGATATCCTCCCCTTGAACCCCTGTAGACCCTCCGTTAACAGCGTTCCATCTTCTTTGATGTCGAACCCCTTCCATACGTCCTCTACAACCTTGACCCATTCCGTGGGTTG